TTCATTGTTCCCATGACACAGATGAGGAAACTGAGGCCAGGAGGTTGAGATATAGATAGAAGGGCTGGGTGTGGTGGCTCGTGCCTGTAATCCTAGCATTTTGGGAGGCTGAGGTGGGAGGATCACTTGAGCCCAGGAGTTCAAGACCAGCCTGGGCATTATAGTGAGACCCCCCCCCCACCATCTCAATGAAAACAAAATGGATGGATGTACCCATGAGGATGGCTATGATCGGAAAAGCAAGAAATAACAAGTGTTGGCAAGGATGTGGAAAAATCGGAACCTTCATGCACTGCTGGTGGGAACTAAATGGTGCAGCCGCAACGGAGAACAGCGTGACGGCTCCTGACGAGTTCAATGTGGCTACTGCTGGGCACCTCCTCTCGTAACTGCAGAACTGGAATATGCGGTCTGCTGTCTTATGAGGGGCCTGCTGTCTCCGTTTCTCCCCAGACCACACCCTTCCCTATCGCCTCTGCTGGTCACCCATATATATCACCTTCTTCTCATTATTTTTATTATTTATTTGAATTTATGTATTTTTTTTTTAGAGGCAGGATCTGTCTCTGTCACCCAGGCTGGAGTGCTGTGGTACCATCAACACTCACTGCAGCCTCAACCTCCCAGGCTCAAGTAATCCTCCTGCCTCAGCCTCCCAAGTAGCGAGGACTACAGGCACACACCACCATGCCTGGCTTCCACATAAGTTGTGTTCCCAGCTTCTAGACATTTGGGACTGCAACCCCCGTGAACCTGAAGGCACGCTTCCACACTCCTTTTCTAAGCTCGTACCTGGGGTGGGTGCAGTGATGGCCTCCTATGTAGGCAGCCCTGACCCCACGCCTCTCCGCTTTCCCTCTCCCACTGTCTAATCAGGGGAATGAGACACTGGGATAAGCTCTCTGAATACTGCATTTCATTGACTCCTCACAACAGCCAGCCGAGGTCATTACTATTTCTCCATTTTGCAGATGAGAAAACTGAGGTTCCAACAGGTTAAGGTCATCCATCTCCATGGATGCGGCTGCTCCACCTCTCCAGCTCACTCGAGGAGCTTTGCAAAGAGACAGCCTTCCCGACCCCACCCCACACCTCCCGGTCCCAAAGCTCTCAGTGCTGGGGTTGGGGAATCCTGTCTTAAACGGCTCTCCTGGGAGATGCTGGGTCAGGCTTGGGCCCGGCTTCTCTTAATGGTCGTGTGGCGGGTGGGGGCGGAGGCCCCTCCCACTCCAAGCACCACAAAGAGATGATCTCATTCCTCCTGGAATCCAGATTCTGCCCCAGATTTGCTGCACAGTCAGTCTGAAGCCAGCCACTCTCCAGGCTCTGCACCTGAGTCTTCCCATGTGTGGAAGGGGAAAATAGCTCCCGCCCCCTCCTGCCTTCCAGGAATGGGCACGTGGAGCAGGCGGGAGGCAGGGAGGGGCGTGGCTGGGACTTGCTCGAGCCTGTGCTTTTCTCAGAGCCGCCGCCGCACCTGCCTCCCGCCCCGTGGGGCTGCAGCTTGGTCACTCTCTACCTCTTGTCCCCCTCACCGTTTGTACCAGCCCCTCCTTTCCAGGGCCCTGGGCTGGCTGCAGCTGCTTCAGCTCCTCCTACGCAGCCAGGTGCCTCTGTCCTCCCCCTTCTGCCTACGCCACCGCCTGCCACTGGGGTCCCCCTTGGAGTTGGAAATAGCTGACTTGAGTGGCAGAGCAGGGAGCCACCATCCATCAAAGAACCGTAAATTTGGAAGGAGGGTCCTATGCCATTGCCCCATCATGCAGGCTGCCTGAGGTCCACGTGGGCTCCAATCAGAGCTGGGACCAGCAATGAGGCAGCCACTGGGCCACACAGCTCGGTGGCTGAGTTCATCTTGAGCCTGGACATGCTTGGGTGTGGGTGTTGGCCATCGGCCATGCAGTGGAACTGTGCAATCTCCTGCTATTCTCTGACCTCCCGGGCCTTGGCCTCCTCATCTGAAAACATGAGGCTGAGGGGAGCACTGCCCTTGCAGGGAGAGCTCCAGGGGGTGGGGATCAGGTCCGGCTTGCTCAGTGCTGTGTCCTTGGCTTGTGGGATCTGAGCCATTCGATAACCATGGGGGAATTAAACGGCTATTGATTAAACAAGAAAATACACATGAAGCCATTAATAACAGTGCTCAATGGCAAACGAGCCCGTAGCAAAAGCTCGATAAACATTTGCTGTTCTTAGCGGACCACAGCGGAGCCACTGGGCAACATGCTAGCCATGAAATTCTGAGGGAATCCCCAGAACAGGTTCAGAGTGAACTCCCAGAGCCTGGGAACCTGCAGGGGTCCCCGGTGCCCACTCAGGAACTTGGGGTCCCACATCCCCCTTTGCCACCAGTCCAGCATCTCTGGCTTCTCAGCACGGCTGGGCCTTCCCAGGGGGAAGTGAAGAAGGAAAAGGGGAAGAGGCCTCCATCTTGGCTGAACTGTCAAACCCCACCCAACCCAACGACAAGCCAAGCTCCCGCCTGAAGAGCGCTCACTCTCTCTGTGAATTGATTACACACTTTCGCCACCACCTCGGCTCCTCCCTGCCGCCCGAAGAGGCTGGGTGCCAAGGGGAACCACCTACGGGGAGACGCGGGTTCCAGGCAGCCTCAGGCCTCTTGTCACAGATGGGAAATCGAAGCAGGGTACAGAGGGGCAGGGTTTGAACCCGAGGTCACCCTGCTGGGGTTGAGAGGGCACCACCAGGCCCTGACTGTCACCGTCCCCGTCTGGACCCTGTAGCTGACCCAGACCTGAGGGCCCCGCATGAGCCCTCTTATGAAATGGAAGGCAGAGTCCTTGAATAGCTGCCTTAAAATGAAGGTTTCCCTGAGCAGCCCAAGGTCAGAAGACAGGCCAGGAGCCTGCAAGGCCTGGGGAGCTGGTTCCCAGCCCTGAGCTGCTCAGCCCGGCGGGATTGCAGGGGTTGCGGGCTGTCTAGTAACAACCAGACAATTGCATCCTGAGGGCAGAGCTCACAGAGATGCCCAGAGGTTGATATGGGGTGGTTTCCAGAACATTCCTGATTTTGAATATCCTGTCCCAATTGGAGGCGGGTTAGAGATCGTGGGCGTCGGCACCACAGGCCCCTGTCTGCGCCTGTTTCACTCCCATCTGCCAGGCTTGGACCTGACTCCTGCTTCACGAATGACCTGCCTTCACCTTTGTCCACCTGGAATCCACACACATTGTCAACGTGAAACAAAATGCAAACACAAGCTGGAAACAGCAGCACCACCGTGCAGACCTCACCACAGCACATGGCTGGCAAACGGGCTCCCAGCCTTTCTCCCCAGCCCATGACGTTTCTCCCGGTCCTGTACACGCTTACAGCCAATGTCTCCTCAAGATGCAGAAAGGATACACAAGGTGTATTACATATTTTATAAGAACAGGATTATGCTTCATGTGCCATATGGCAAAGCACTTTTTCCACACGTCAGGAATTACGGATCTGGGTGGGCACTGAGAGGCTGCAGTGGCGAGATGCCAACAGTGACGGCCCCAGCTGGGATTCCCAGGCGCAGCCCCTGCCTGCACCTGCCTAAGCCAGGCTCCTGGCCCCAACTGCCCCAGCACCCTTAGGTCTCAACTCTATCCTCCCTCAGCCCGCCCCAGCCCTCTCACTCCATTATTTTGTCCAATTTTTTTATTAAACACTTTATTTTAAAAGCACATATTATGTGCCAGGCACTGTTCTGAGTGCTTCACCAACTTTAACTCATTTAACCCCCACCACAATCCAGTGAGAGAAGTGTGCTTGTTACCATCCCCATTCTACAGATGGCCCAGGGAAGAAGGCGTTGCCCTCACAGACCAGGACATTATCCACCAAAAGAACAAATGACCCAGGACAGCACAGGACCGTTTCATCCTCCACAGTCTCAACAGTTCTTGGGAAGTAAAGGCTGTTTTATCTCCTATGACAGTCTTCTGCCTTCCTCAAAGTTTCCCCAGAATACATTCTTCTGCAGAGCTGGGCAAGAAAGAGCTGCCTTGGCAGGCCCGGGTTGGCCACACCCTGCACATTCCAAAGAAAGGTGTGACTCCGGCCTGGCTCCTACGAGGTGATCTCTAATCCATAAGCCCTTGGAGTGTCCTGTCTGAGAAGAGTGGCCATGTTTGCCTGTGGGTCTTGGGCCACATCAGAGAGACTATGCAAATGATGAGATTTATTGGAGGGCCTTGGGCCATGTAGTGTCAGCTCGACCTCTGGAGGGATTGGAGTCAAAGGCCAGCCACATCATCAGCAATGCCTACACCATCAACTCCCAATAAAAACTCTGGACACCGAGGCTTTGGTAAGCATCCCTGCCTGGCGATGGTTCACAAGGGTTGTCCCTTGTCACTGCAGGGTGAATCAAGTGCTGCCCACACAACATCCCCTGGCAGAGGACAATGAGAAGCTGGCACCTGGCATCTCCCGGCCCCAGCCCTGTGCACCTTTTCCTGTTGCTGATTTTAATCTGTATCCTTCATTTTCATAAACCATAACTGTGAATACAGCAGCTTTCCTGAGCTCTGTGAGATTTTCTAGTGAATCATGGAGCCTGAGGGTGGTCTGGGAAACCCCCAAACGGGAGAGCCCACTCACTGAGTCAGTGGACAGCCTCAGAGCACTTCATGCCGGCAGCACCAGAAGTTAGCCCTGCCCTGCACAGACAGGCTCCACTCCTGCCCTCCATGCCTCCAACACACGCGGCTCCTTCCGTGGAAAAGCCCAGACATTGGGTGTGAGCAGCCCTGGCCATCCTAGGCAGCCCCTATGATGTAACACCGGGTAATGTCCCGGGAACCAGGTAGTATCCCAGGTGCTCCTAACCTCCTGGAAACCAAGTAACATCTCGAGAACCAGATAACGTCCCAGGTACCAGGTAACATCTCAAGAACCAGGCAATGTTCCACGAATCAGGAAACATTCCAGGTATCCGCTCACATCCCAGATAACAGGACACATGCCGGGTTCCAGGTGATATCCGGGGATTCCCCGGGCCTTACCTGCCAATGACCTCGATGTTGGAGATGGCGTAGAAGTACTTGTAGAGGTTCTCCCGCTGCACGTAGGTGCCGCCCAGCGCGGGGCGCAGCAGCCGCATGCGCAGGTCGGTGAGGGTGAAGAACTCCTTGAGGCCCTTGGCGCTCTCCAGCCGCGTGTAGAGGTTGTCCATGTTGCGCAGGTCTGGGCCGGCAAAGATGGCGAAGCGGTCCCGCACCTCGAATCGCACGTGCTTCTCCTTCTTGGAGCCTGCCCATCGCGAGTACTCCTCGGTGCAGAGCACGCGGTGGGCGCTGGAGGACGACATGTCGCGGGCCCGGCGGGCGGACATGCCGAAGGCCTCCATGCAGTCCTCGGCGTAGAACTGGTAGGGCTGCCACGTGCGCCCGTTGTCCAGGGACTTCTCCAGGACCATGACCGTGGGCCGGCCGTACTCGAAGGTCATCACCACGTCGTCCGTCAGCTCCACGGTCTTGTTCCACGAAAGGGTGATGTTGGCTTCCAGCGGGCTGGGGTAGCGGCTCCACGTGATGCTCTGCCAGTAGGTGGCCAGGCCTTCCTCCTCCTTGTCGAACATGAGCCTGGGCGGGTGGGCCAGGTCCGGGTTGGAGGCGTCGCACTCGTTGCTGCACAGGTAGGGATTCTCCTGCAGCGGGGAGAGAAGGGAAGGGTGGGTGCTGGATGCTTAGGGTGGCCTGGGAAGCCTCTGCCCAGCCTGGCCCTTGCCTGTGAGCCCAGACACCTGCTCTGTGGCCACAGGGCCTGTGCTCCGGTGCCCAGACATGGCTGGGGGATTTGTGCCCATTTTCCCAAGGCGTGCAAAGGTGTGCAATCCCATGACGTCCCAAGAAAATGCACACTTGTTTCTGCCGTAAATACAGACAACCAAGAGAGCTGGGTGTTCGTCCCCTGCTCCGAAGTCCTCCATGGCTCCCCTTTGCCTGGAATACAAAGTCCCGACTCGGTAATATTCTGATCCCACACCTGGTGACCCTGTGCCTGGGCCTCCCCAGGACAGCTGTCCTCCTGCCCCTGCCTGCTGCGCCTCTGAGCCTTTGCAGATGGCATTCTCTCTCCTTCATGTGCCCTTCCGCTCTCTGCCTTGAAAATTCCCATTCACGTTCTTGCCTCTCTAAACATCTCCTTAGCTGAGTCACCTCCTGAGCCTTTTATTTTATTTTAATTAATTTATTTTTTTTAAGATAGTGGCTCGCTCTGTAGCCCAGGCTGGAGTGCAGTGGCGCAATCTCGGCTCACTGCAACCTCTGCCTCCAGGGTCCCAGTTCAAGCAATTCTCCTACCACCTCAGCCTCCTAAGTAGCTGGGATTATAGGCAGGAGCCAGCATGTCCAGCTAATTTTTGTATTTTTTAGTAGAGATGGGGTTTCACCATATTGGCCAGTTGAACTACTGACCTCGTGATCTGCCCCCCTCGGCCTCCCAAAGTGCTGGGATTACAGGCGTGAGCCACCGCTCTCAGCCGTTATTTTATTTTTTATTGAGACAGAGTCTTGCTCTGTTGCCCAGGATGGAGTGCAGTGGGGTGATTTCAGCTCACTGCAACCTATGCCTCCCAGGTTCCAGCGATTCTCCTGCCTCAGCCTCCCGAGTAGCTGGGATTACAGGTGTGCACCACCACACCTAGCTAATTTTTGTATTTTTAGTAGAAACAGGGTTTAGCCACATTGGCCAGGCTGGTCTCAAACTCTGACCTCAGGTGATCCACCCACCTTGGCCTCCCAAAGTGCTGGGATTACAGATTTGAGCCATGGCACCTGGCCCCGGAGCCTTTTCAACAGTACCCTTAGGATTGGTGAACATACTGAGGGGCTTAAAGAGGGCCTGGCAGCTCTGGGTCCCTCCCTGATCCCTTACCCTGTGCGTCTCTTCTATCTGGCTGTCCCTGAATTTGATAAGTGGGTAAAGGTAAGGAAACAATAAAAAATAAGCTGGGTGTGGTGGCACACGCCTGTAGTCCCAGCTACTCAGCGGGCAGAAGTGGGAGGATCACTTGAGGCCAGGAGTTCAAGATCAGCCTGGGCAACACAGCCAGACTCTGTATCTACAAAAAATTTTAAAAATTAGCTTGGCATAGTGGGGCGCACCTGTGGTCCCAGCTGTTTGGGAGGCTGGGGCTGGAGAACTGCTTGAGCCCAGGAGTTTGAGGCTGCAGTGAGCTATGATTGCATCACTGGACTGTAGCCTGAATGACAGAGAGACTGTGTCTCTAAAGAAAACCCCCCAAACCCCAAATATCTCACCCTAACGCAAGATGTGGATGATAGGTGAGGAAAGACGTAGGTGGGAAGAGGGTGACATGGGGGGTTAGGTACTTTTTGTACTATCTGCTCAATTTCTGTAAATCTAAAACTGCTTTGAGATATAAAGTCTATTAATTAAAAAAAAAAAAAAAAAAAAAAAAAAAGAACACTGTTCCTAACAACCATACAGTGCCCCAGACCATTTGTGGCCCTTTTTGATGAATATTTCAGGTGTCTGGTTTGCTCAGAGACAAAATGGCTTGGATCTGAGTTAAAACCTCTCACTCTCAAATGAGCCTTTCAGCCCCCATGGTGGAAGTGGGGCCCACCGCCTTCTGAGGGGCTGAGCCGCACCCCTGCGGCCCCCACCAGGCACCACTGCCCGCTGGGCTTTGATTCTCAAGGATGGAGGACAGGTGGCCCGGCTGCCCGGGGCTCCTTGGTGGGCAGGGCTGACCCTTCATTGAGGTAGGTTCTACAAAGCTCTCTTTGACCCAAATAGCTCTGTCCTCAGTCCCCCGTGCAAATTCAGGGTGGCAGGAGCTCACCAGAGAGTCCAATACTTCCTTGAGCAGATGGGGAGACTGAGGCCCGGGCCAGTGCAGGACTGGCCCCAGCCTTCTGGAGAGCAGACAGCACCCCTGAGGAGGAGCTTGCTGCTACCACCAGTGTATCCACACCACCGGCGAGCACACCGTTCCAGGACAGTAGAGGGACATGGGGGGTCCCAGCTTCCTCACTCTCTGGCTGGGTGACTCTGGGCAAGACACGCCCTGTCCTGTGCTGCTGCCTGGAATGATGAGGGGCTGAGAGGCCGTGGGGATGGCACAGTGGCCTGAGAGAGTGGCAGGTGCTGGGCTGGAGGAGGCAGGCTTGATCCATGGGGGAACCGGCAGCGGGAAGGGCGTTGAGCCGGATGCAGAATGGGCTCTGATTGTCCTACTTGGGAGGAGGAGTGAGAGGCAGGTGCTCCAGGAGCTCGCACCTGGACTCTGGCACCCAGGCACACACTGGCCCCCTTCCCCTAGCCCAGTCAGTACCCCCTTCTCAAAGTCCCAGTGCTGCTTCTGCTGCCCCTGGGGCCTTCCTAGGGGCTGAATGGTGGCGGTGTGTGGTACTTTGTTATGGTGGCCGGAGCTGACTCAGACCTGCCTCATCCCAAGTGAATGAAGAGGGAACAGTCGGGAGGAATGGCTCAGAAGGGTAGCACCAAACGGTGAGTTTTTGATGACTTTCCCAGACGCTCTCTCTGGGGCTTCCCCCACCAGCCTGGTTTCTCAGTATGCTGACACCAAGTGGCATCACACTGCCTCACCTACCCAGAAAGCTCTTATCAACCCAGCACCGAAGCTGTGCCATGTCCCAGGCCACTTCATCCCCTTCCACTTCAGAGCTTGTGCCCCTTTGGCCACTTCTTTCCTCCTGGTTTTCAGAGCCCTCCCACATGTGCCTCCCCCAGGAGGCCCTCCTGACTTGACTCAATCTTTGAACCCAGTTCCCTCATCATACATCACAGAGTTGTTAATGTGCTTACTGGGGACAGTGTAGTGAGGTCTCCATATTGGGCCTGGACGTCAGTAACCACTCACTAAATTATACTTATTACATCATATTAATTACCTGTTAATCAAATGACTGTGATATTGACATATCTCCTATTGAGTGTTGATAGTATTCCTGGCAACCTGCAACTGCTGAGCCCCCCACACTTCACCTTTTCCCTGCTGTCTCTTTGTCCTCCTGCCTTGCCTAGCCCTGCCCTGCCCAGGCCCCTGGTGGATTCTACAGGGTGAGGGTTTGCGGGGGCGGGGGGGCAAGGTATCCCTCCAAACCCCCAGTTGCGCCTGGCCTGTCTGTCACTGGAAAGACTGACACAGCTGGCTCCGGCTGGAGATGGGGGTTCCAAGTGGGCTGCTCCAACCTACAGGACCCTCCAGCCCCCCGCCCCGGCTCGGGAAGCAGATGGTCAGAAACTAATGAATCAGCCTGTGTGTTTACAGGCCCCTCGCCTGCTGCGGAGTGGGCTCAGTCAACAGCAAGTACAATAAATAAATCCCGAGCTGCGGCCAACACAATTCTCTCTCTCCTCCTTTCTCTTTCTGTCTCTCTCCTTCTCCCGCTCTGATTTCTTTCCCCAAGATCTCCAAATTCCACTCAGCTGGTCGGTAGCTCGAAGCATCCCAGCAAAGGCACTGCTGGAGCTCACCTGACTTTCCTTTTCCTCTGCAAACACAGCATTGTCTTCTCTCACTTTCCTTCTATTTTTTTTTTCTTTTAGTTGGAGTCTTGCCTTGTCACTGAGGCTGAAGTACAATGGTGCAATGTCAGCTCACTGCAACCTCTGCCTCCTGGGTTCAAGCGACTCTCCTGCCTCAGCCTCCTGAATAGCTGGGATTACAGGTGCATGCCACCATGCCTGACTAATTTTTTGTATCTTAAGTAGAGACGGGGTTTCACTATGTTGACCAGGCCGGTCTTGAACTCCTGACCTTGTGATCCATCTGCCTTGGCCTCCCAAAGTGCTGGGATTACAGGTGTGAGCCACTGCGCCCGGCCTTATTTATTTATTTATTTATTTATTTATTTATTTATTTATTTTGAGACAGAGCCTTGCTTTATGGCCCAGGCTGAAATGCAGTGGTGCAATCTTGGCTCATTACAACTTCCGCTTCCTGGGTTCAAGTGATTCTCCTGCCTCAGCCTCCTGAGTAGCTGGGACTATGGGTGCGCACCACCATGCCCAGCTACTTTTTGTATTTATAGTAGAGATGCGGTTCTACCATGTTGGCTGGGCTGGTCTCAAACCCCTAACCTCAGGTGATCCACCGCCTCAGCCTCCCAAAGTGCTGGGATTACAGGCATGAGCCACCATGCCGGGACCTTCTATTCTTCACTGGGGGAATTCTGAGGACCCAGCTGGGTATTAGAAGCCCAGTTTACCCCAGTTCCCCTGCCCCAGGGCCGACAGCATCTGACAGCTGATAACATCATGGGGGTGGGGCGGAGATGAGGGTGGGTGAAGGTTTGCCAGCCTTCCCCGGGTCTTCACGTTTCCACCCATGTACAGGACAGCAGATCGACTAATCACAGAAACACCAGTCAAAACGAAGTGGCCTAATACACGAGAGACTGTTACGAACACCTCTGACCTTTCAGGGTGGCTCCAGAGCCGCCCTTTGATAGTAGCAAAAGAGGTAGTAGCTTCTTTAAGTGTTTCATGAAAATTACAACAAAAATCATACCCCTGGTTTTTAAAAATAGCCTTGGAATTTTCTCTAGAAAAATGCAGTAACATACCCATTTTCCATACAGTTTTGGTCTCTGGGGTCTGAAAGCCCTGAGTTCCCTCTTAGCTCTCTGCTTTGAGACTATGTAACTTTGACAA